GGCAGGGGAGTGAATGTAGGTGGGGCTTAGAAGAGTGGGATTAGCCCCTGCCAAGGTGCCCAATTAACAGGTTGCAGGAGCACGGGGGAGAGCCCCCTCCTGCTTCCCACAATGCCCACAAATTGCCAGCCAGGGTATTCCAGACACGGGTTTAGCGTGCTTTCAAAGGAGTGTTACACTACGTCGGAACTAGCCCAAGCGACGGGTCGAGGCGCAGAGGAGGGTCTGCAAAGAGCACCAGGGACATTCCCTCCTGTTCACCCAGCGCGCCTCTGGAGCTGCAGCCTGTCGGTCCGGCCACAGCTTTGGGAGGGGTGCGCAACGTGGAAGAACGGATGATGCACAAGCTGCCCTCCGCTAGTACCACAAAGGAGCGGACCCGCTGGCCGGAGGAGGCAGTCAGCAGCAGCAGCCTCAGGAAGCAAGCTGACTGACCGATCAATTGATCAACTGGTTACCTGCCATCCAGTCACTGCTGACTCCGCTGCAGAGCAGGCAAAAGAAATTAGAACAGGAATAAAAGCTGTAAGAAGTCCAGCCACGTGAAACTCTTTGTTGACGAAGCTGCAGGAACCTTGGTGACAGGACCAGGAACGCCCAGCGGGCAAACCTCGCCTCCCTTTCCCAATTAAATCAACCCTCTGGGCACACGAGACTAGCGGTTAAACCCGCATCTGTGAGGAGCCCAGAAGCACTCTGAAGAGTCCGGAATTGCACTTCTGCAGATGTCAAACCTCTCCTCCAAGTCAAGCCCAGACGGCCATCAGGGCAGCCCCTAGCGATGGGGGCGGAGTTGGACAGACCCCCAGCTGTTTGAAGCTGGGCAAATGCCACCCCCGAGGAGAAGGCGGCGCAGGCGCCTCTAAAACTGGAACTGCCTCTGCCTTTCCCCGGCAGTGAGACGTCGGTAACTTCATGAGGACCGGACGCTTGAGAGCAATTCGCAGGGCAGACCGTGCACAGTGACTGTGCAGCTGCCGGAGCGGCAACCGGGAGCCCGGCTGCAGGCTTCGAGGTCCCGGGCGGGGGTGGGGGCGGAACGACCCCCTCCCT